AGAGGGGGCAGTTCAATGACTCAAGGAGGATGAGTGTTATCACTGTCCAGTCAGATAAGCTTACGAAGTGAAAATCAGACACCGAAAGACACTGCTGCTGCCTGACGGATGACAAGGTGTCCATTTGTATTCTTCCCTGTTACCAAGCCTGCCAGAGATTGCAATGGCTAATAGTAAATGATGGACCACAGCTGAGTGAAATGAATATGATACAGAATGAAAACTGTCCTGCCACTATATTTATATACATGCTGATACATTTGTTTTACACTGTATAGTCTAGTTTTGACAAGTTACAAATTGTGTTACCAAGAAATGTATGTGCCCAAATATGTTAGTGATCTGACATCTGAGGCCTTAAATAGTTGAGATGTACTTTAAACCGTACTTAATGGGGCATATTTGGTGAAATCTCAAATACTTAAAGTTCTTGAGACTTTTATTACATTATGTTGATGTATTTCCAACTAAAACACAAAATTGAGAGAGGTCAGGCTTTCTTGTGCACATCATAGCAAACTTTATGTATGAGCTGCATGGCTAAGGATATTAATATAGAGTTGCATTGAAAGCACTAACATTGAAGGAAACAGAAGGATCACCATTCCAGTGGTGGTAGCAAATGGTTGGACTTTGATATAAGATTACCAAAACAAACATTAATTTTCAGTGGCTTAACTTGCTCTGATTAGTTATCCATCTTAAGTATACCAATGGGAGCAAGTAAAATAAACATTGCAAATTTTGATTTCACGCAGACTTTAAAGGGGACCTAATATGCAAAAATGGCAACAGTGTGTGAATAAAGCCAACCTCGAATGCTAAAAGTTAATTATTCTTTCATTCATTATCTTTTCGGCTTAGTGCCTTTACTAATCAGGAGTCGCCGCAGCGGAATGAACTGCTAACTTTTCCATTATATGTTTTACGCAGCGGATGCCCTTCCAGCCGCAACCCAACACTGTGAATCACCCATACACACTCTTTCACACACTACGGCCAATGTAGCTTATTCAATTCACCTATAAAATAAGTTTTTGGGCTGTGGGGGAAACCAGAGCACCTGGAGGAAACCCACACGAACACGGGGAGAACATGCAAACTCCACACAGAAATGCCAACTGAGCCAGCTAGGTCTCGAACCAGTGACCTTCTTGCTGTAAGGCGATCGTGCTACCCACTGTGCCACCATGACGTCCTGAAAGTTCATTAATTCGTTAAATTTTTTACAACTAGACTTAAAATTCTCCCTCTGTACATGTCATCGGAGGCGGGAAAGTCTCATGAGAAGCAGCCGTCCACCATTAGAGTTTTTACACCATAAATGTTAAAGATAATATCATCATTATAAATGTGGAGTTTAAGGATGCACAAATGAATGTAGTCTCCATAGACTTACACACCTCATTTTGAGCCACTTATTATTATTATTTTCTTATGTTTTCATTTAGATAGACAGGAATAACACTTGAATCTGCTGCTATGCTAACACACAGGCCTTTGTAGCTCCAGCCTCTTTTGAAAAGAGCAGAATCTTATTCAAATTTAAAGTGACAGTCACCAAAACAACACAATTTTGATCAAAGCCTTAAAGGGAAGGTTTCAGAGTTATAAAACAATATTTATTTGGGGTATTTGGAGATGAACCTTCACATCAAACATCTTATTTTACATTTTATAAAAAGCTGCCCCTTTAATATTAAACTATGGACATAAGTGATATTTCAAATTGTGCAGTTTCAAAGAACAATTTGTGCTCCTATTTTTAAATGAAGCCAAACATCTAGCGCTGACTAAACCCAACTGTGTTGTCACCTTGTGTCAGCTTGCATCTAGTGCCGTCTGGACTAAAAAGCTGCACATGAACACACCAAACAGATGGCAGCCAACTGAGATGAGAGTGGGCTTGCATGAGAGGATGTGTCTTTCCGCACCCAGAGGGGCAGTATCTGTTTTCTTGTTTCATTAAGGGAAACTTGCATTTTTGACTTGCACTTTCAAAAAGTAATCAAAGCAGCATTCGTACCATTTTTACAGTACTTTTCACTCACCCACAGAGGGATTCACTCTTTTAAATATCACTGATAAGCTAATAATCCATATAATTTGCAAATATTTAAGAAGATTAGTGAAATTTCAGCTGGCCTATTTGTATTCCTTTCTGACTTGTTTACTTGCTACGTCAATTCAGTTTTTTAACTTGTGCTCTGATTTTTTGCTAAATAACCAACCAGAATGCTCTCTTTAGCTGATTCTACATGCTGAATTGGGCCAACGTGATTTGACATCAACCTGACAAGAGGTGGTGTGTGAAACAGCGTGTAAATATGAAGACTCCCCAATTCATCCTTGTGAAATCTTTGTGGTATTCCTCCCCTAATATTGTGAGGGAAAAATATTTTTTATTTATTTAAGAATTTAATTTAACATTTAAATGTAAGAGTTTCATCTCAAATCATCATTTAATTCTTACAAACAAGTGCATGAAGTCCTGCTGTTGTTTTTGTTTATTCTCTTTCTCTTTTATTTTTTGCCCTCTTTTCTGACTGTGAAACAAGTCCTCATTTTTTTCAACTGTAATATCTGGTTGTAGGCTTCAGTATCCATTTATTGAACGTAAAAGGTTATGTTTTAACCTTTTTTCTTTAAAAGTTTAATGCTTCAGCTTTCAAATATTTAGTAGCGAGCAAGCTGAAATCCTGTGGCCATTTACTCTTAAGTTAGGTAACTTGTTGGATGGTGCAGTCACCCCTAGAATATCACTTAGAGTGGTGTATATTTATATTTGGCTTGTGTGTGCTCTATATTGTGTGCATGCAGTTGGAGTTAAATGCAGAGCACAAGCTCCTAAAATGGCTCACCGTACCTTGGCTACATCACTTTGCTTCATTTCATTTTAATACGTCAGAAATCCCCTAGAGAACCATGTAGTAAGCAACTATGTAGTCAGAAACGGGCACATATAAATCAAAATGTAATACTTACTAATCAAATTTGTTTAGTTAAAATGAAAAGTCCAAGAAACCTTTGAGTATATTTTGGGGATTTTGTGTTGAGCGTCAATTAGGTAAACTTTAGCACCTGTTAGCTTTTATTGTGGATAAACTGTCGTCATTTTTGAGCTTTTGTTAGCCAATTTCATCTTCTAGATTTAAAATCATTATTGGGGAGGGATCAAAATAGGTGACATAGCGCTATCTGCCTGTCCAGTGATTACTTCTTGGTTTCTTGTTAATATTCAGTTTTCTTATCCTATGAGAAGACCCTGCTTCTTAAATATTCATGACAGCACGTGTTTTTTTTTGTCTTGAGAGCTGTACAAGAATTAGAGAATGGTGGACCTTGTCTTTTATCAGTTGAGGTCGTTACCATTCAGACACATCCCTGTATTTGTGCTGCTGTGTTCGCCCATGTTTACAATCTCCAGATTAGTGGCAGGGTTAATGGTTGACATATATAGGGACACCTGCTGCACTGCTATCCACTGTGTCGGCATTAAGACCCGTGTCTGATTTTATTTAGTCTGATTTTGTGATTCAACTGGCAGTAGTTTGGCCTTTTTTGCTGGCCTTGGCCACTCCTCTCTCTGCTCACAGAGCTCCATGCCTATCATGTAGCATTTCTTTAAATTTAATTCTGAGGTAGACTTGAACTGAATAAGGATGATTTCATGACCCTTTAAGGACATATAGGTGGCTGTCACTTTAAGACAGCTGCACAGATCCCCTGTATTGATCTATTTTATTCTCAGCTATTTATGTTCACTAGTGATTTAACCATCAACATTAACATGTCAAGACAGACATTTTGACATTTTTTTATTTGACATTTAAAGGACAATAAAGTCAAACAACTGGAATATGATTGCAAAATACTCGTGAGAACTTATTTCTTAATGTTTCTTTATCACAGTTTCACAAACTTTAAAAAGCCTTGTACCACAATACTGTATTGTGTATATGTATGGTCATTTACGATTTGCAGTACATTATCTGAAGGCAGTTAGCACCAATGTGGGTCCTTTCCTTGTTTTCACTAGTTTGCAGTCTAAGCAAATTGCATCAAATGGGGTTTGCATCCATCCAAAAATATTGGTATTTGATATTTGGTCGTATTATTAATCTTGGTGTTTAAAGATAAATAAAAATACAGTCTCTCAAACTACATAATTACAAATGACATTGGATTATTTTTGATTCAGCCAAATAGAAATGTAAAGAATATTCAAAAGTAATAAAATATGTATTTTCACATCTCTGTGTGCAACAATCTATCAGAACCCACTTAGAACACCTTTGCAGCCGTATAGCATCACCCTGGCAACCACTCACCCAAGCACTGTCAGGCAGTTTTGCATAGCCATACACGCATTTGAGATGGAAAGCAAATTGGCAAATTGGCAAATTATTCATGGTCCACCGACTGGTAAAGCAGCATTTTTTAGCACACTCACCATCCATTAGATTTTGTGTATATATTCAGCTTCTTCTGGTCCAGTTTGCTGAACAGTGACAACAGCAAAACAACCTATTCATCACTCTTTTCATGCACTTCCACCTATTTTTGATTGTTGAAATGTTGCCATTATATTGTTCCTCCATAATACAGGTGTTCTTGCATGTCAGTATTTGCCATTTAGTTTTAAGTTGTATCTTGTATCTGATGACTCAAAGGCCCTGTTCCGTCTCGCTGGCAGCCAGTGCTTCAGCCCCCATCTCCCATGTACTGGCAGCCTCATTAGAGAGATGAAGCCTTAGTGTAATGAGAGAGCATGAATGCAGGTCGCACTGTGTCAGCTGTGACTTCCACTGCTAAACAAAACACACACGCACAAACAAAAAGAAAAAAAAAAACAAGCTTTGACTGCCAGGATGTTGTGTGCTGAAGAAAAGACAAAACTAGGCCATCTGTGCTTGAGCTGCAATCACCGGCATTATATTATATTAACAGTAAATTCTCTCACCATCCCTCATTCTTTCTCCTCTCTCTTTCCCCCGCAGGAGTTATGGTCAGTAAGGAGGCAGGCCGCTGCACTCTGTCAAGCTCAGAGTCTGACTCGGAGTCTGGTGGTCCTTCGTTGGAGCGGAGCGGAGCAGACGCGGTGCGCAAGCGAAACAAAGCCCTGCAGGTGCGCTTTAAAGACATCTGCGAGGCGCAGAATGAGGTCGCCCACCGAGGTGCCAGGGACCGCTCTGTTTCCTGCAAGGTCATCCACCGGAGGTACATGACCATGCCTGCACGCCGCTCCATCCCAAATGTCACCAAGAGCACAGGTGTGCAAACTTCACCTGACTTGAAGAAGCGCTACCAGACTTTCCCCTTCGAGCGCAAGAAGGGAAACGTCATCAAACACACGGCTCTGGTTGAGAACCACCCAGATCAAAACAATGGCTTTCTGAGTGATGTGAAGGATGGGAAGCGGGGCGCAAGGTGTGACGGGCATGTGCAGCAAACCCGAGTATTGCTTCACACTACACCGCAGTGCAGCGATGCTAAGGACTTATGTGCAGGGCCGGACTGTTCGGATGGAAAACTCTGCCCTGATCTGTCAGATGCAGCTTTGGATCAGTCAGATGCCAATGTCCCAGGGAGTGGGGCCAAGCACAAGGGATTACCTAGTGAGAGCGAGGCAGGAGTAGGACAACAGCCCAACTGTGCCTCCTCGACCACACCGACTCAACCTCTGCCGGTCAGGGGTGACTGTTCAAAGATTTCCGGCCCTATTGCATGGACGTCTTTGACTCAAGTGGAGTGCCCGGAGAGTCCCTCAGGGAGCTGCGCTCGCAAAAAAGACACGGCGCAGCTGAATGGACTGCAGACACAGTCTCAGGCTTTGCCTCATTCGGCGAGCTGTGCTTCCCAAGCTCACATACGGGCCCACTGTCACAGTAGCCAAAACTCGGGCCCCACAGAGACCCAGCAGCAAGGCACGAGGGGGCAGCTGATTGCTCTCCCAGGGGTTGATGGGAACGTAAAAGCAAGGCTTCAAGCCATGGAGACTCTGATCAGCTCTAGTCAAGAAACCATCAAAGTGCTGCTGGGGGTCATTCAGGAACTGGAAAGAGGAGAAGCACAGCGAGAGGGGTGAGTCATCAGTTTTTATGTAACATTTTTACTATTCATCACTGTATTTTATGCAGCTTTGTGTTGCAGACTTGTTTTCTCAATGTGAACAAAGAATATGGCACTTGGTAATCATAAATGAGTAAACAATGTTAAATATCTACAAGAAATGTCTTATATTTGAGTTTGAAGGGTAGGTTTATGTTTAGGGGTGAGATTTAGATTCCGGGAGAAAGGTTTGGGTTGTGGTTATGGGTAATTCCAATGCACCAGTATGTATGATAATTTATTTTCCTTCGGATTAGTCTCTCAGAGGTCGCCACACCGGAATGATCGGCTATTTTTTCATAATGTAAAAATTTAATTACTTAAAAGAATGTGAGCAGTACCACATGTAAATGTTTACACTATACAGCAGTCACACTGTTTTAAAAGTGTAGTTGTGACTAGCATACACCAATGTGTACACCAACATTTTTATACAATAATGCCAACATCATAAATGTAAAAATATTTTAAGTATAATATTTTAGCATTAAAGATCACACCTAAACAAGGGTAATTTAAATGTTAATTAAATATATAGTGGTGGATGATGATACCGTATTCAATAGTGATAAATAAATAAAAATAAAAACTCTAAAATTGATTGTTAACCAATGTGTTACTGATGTGCACCTCTAACTTAAATCAACTCAAGTTAAACCATTTCTGTTTGACATTTAGAAAGTCAGTGAAATTGAAAAATATGCTGCTTTTTTTTAATTATTTTTACATAATAGTTTTGACATACAGTTAAAATCAGAATTATTAGCCCCCTTTGATTTTTTTGTCTTTTTTAAAATATTTCCTAAATGATGTTTAACAGAGCAAGGACATTTTTACAGTATGTCTAGTAATATTTTTCTTATTTAAGGTCAAAATTATTAGCCCCTTAAATCTATATATTTTTTAATATATTTTTTTATATATATTTTTATATTCGATTGTATTCGATAGTCTACAAAACAAACCATCATTATACAATAACTTGCCTAATTACCATAACCTGCCTAGTTAACCTAATTAACTAAGAAAAAATAAAAGAGGGCGAATAATTCAGGGGGCTAATAATTCAGACTTTAACTGTGTAATACAAATAAAAAAATACACATTAAAAAATAATTGAGTTGAATTGCATTTAATGCCAACATTAGCTAGAAAATGTATTTCCTTTAACGATCTGTATTACAGTTTGCCTGTCTACTACACTTAATTGTATGTAAAAACACTTCCCATTAATGTTTTCTTTATCAAATGATCTTTAATTATGGCAATCCACAAATGCACTTCACAGATAATAAGTTATAAATAATACACTATGCAATATTGTTAGTGGCCTGGTGATGGTACCAAAATACAGTATAAATCATTTACAGTATGATGTTGACACTTTTCACTTTCCAGTGTGAGCATTTATGTTTCTGAATAGCTTTAAATGCAGTTGTTTTTGGAAATGATCAAAACACAATGTACCTAGAGAAAACTCAAGCAGGTTTTCTCTAATCCAAATGAATTCAATTAAATAAAGCTTTAAATGTAAATTAAACTGTCTCACCTATTTTCCAGAATGAACATGTTGAACACCCAGAACACTGACATTTGATCTGGGATTAATTAAATGTAACTTCATTTAATTTAGGTATTGTTTCAGTTCACTGTAGTGTTGCTACAAGTTCATAGTAAAAGTTAGACATAAGAAAGTTCAGTTCACGTATGCTAATGTATGAAAAAATTACTTTCAGATGACACTTTAGTTGAGCATGAAGAATTTTCCTCCTTTCTTGCTCTGCAGTTTTTAATACTTCAACAGGAAATGCATTTTAAAAAATTATTCCAAGCCATTTGAGTCAAATATTGTTAGCACGTTTTGTTACTGACAATCAACGTGCTCACATAAATCTCTAGCTCATTCCTTTGAGAAATGAAGCTGCTCTGTGTTATCTGCAGTAGCTAAATGGGGCAGGGCTTTGCTAAGTGTCATTTCATTGTTCTTATTCATTGTTCAAAGCTTGAAGAATAATGTTTGTTGTGCAAAGTGCTAAAGCTACTCCTCTGCTCTACTATACGTCATTTAGCAGACAAGGTCGACAAAACATTTCTAAAATGATCCGCCATACCTGATTTATGAATCACAGGTAGGCGTGAAGTCAGCAGGGAATATGTATTGAATTTCAACAGCTTGAATATTTTAATTTCACTGCATTTAGGTATGAACAGGCACCGTGAACAACATGCACATCTATTTATAACATCTGTTTAAGGCTTTTAAATGTACTTCAGCTCCATTTCCATCTCAGCATCCATTGTAAGTGCCAAAAATTTCTGGGTTATAGGCTGTGGTGACTGTTGAAATTGGAACCTGGGAAGCAAATGAGGTGAAAAGACGCTTCGGTGCCTTTTGAAAGCCACTTGCACAGCAACACAGGGACACTTGAATGTCAGATGTCATCCTGCATTCCCTAATACCTGATGCTCTGCAGGCACAGAGCCAGCCTCACTTTCTCCGTGCTTCCTCTGACGGGCCGCCCTGTGAGAGGAAAGAGCTCGATACAATCAGTGCTCCTCATGTTTAATAATGCCTCTCCATTAAGTGGACGTCTCTTCTGGTTGGGATGCGGGAAGCTTTAGAAGTGCCTGCCTCAGCTGTTGGCCGGACGGGACGTGACAGTTTATTTAGTAAGGTCGATAAGAGCAGGTTCTGGAGATATTAGCTGCTCTTAATCCCTGGTAGGCATCCAATAGGAACGTTAGGAGTTATATAGATTTTTATACATATGCACTACCTCTCAAACGCTATATATATATATATATATATATATATATATATATATATATATATATATATATATATATATATATATATATATATATATATATATATATATATATATATTAGTGCTGTCAATCGATTAAAAAAATTTATTAATGGCACCTATTTAAAAAAAATCGCATTTAAAATACTGAAACTTGTAATTTTGGCTATTAAAATGTAAAATTAATGTAAACGCAAGACAAAAACTATTTAAATTCAAAATATAATTGTTATTAGAATTTTTGTTTAACTTGTAACACAGATTTCTTGATGTAAACAACATACCCACAATAAACCATCAAGATCCTGGCTTGACAGCCATATTTATTACAGAAATTAAAACACAGGCATGTTAATGACATTTGAATTTCAAAACCAATAAAAATGCCAATTTCAATGCCAATAAAAAAAAAATATTTCCATGTTGGATTCTAAGTTGACTGCAAAAAAAAAGCCAAAATACAGGCATTACAGATTTGGAAAATGGAAAATTATAATAATAAACTATTGATTACAAACAGTTGCACTTATTGTAAAGTTTTATTGCTTTGAGTTGAGAACATTAAATATAAAGTAGAAACAATTTTGCTTAATCCTCCTTTACATTCATCCAGTTGCTAAGACTAGGAGTATCCCGCAAATGCAGAGACTGCCGGATGCCCGCAAATGAATGATAATCTCTCGCAAACCGGTTGTTAAATACATTGCACACCCCTCTCCACCCTGCGGAGGATTTTCTTTCTGTTCGCCTTGCGGTATCAACTTACAACAGAAGTCGAAAGTTAAAAATGAAACACTCGAAATTGCATGAAACTCTGGATAACCTGTGATGCAATTAATTGTTTTATACTGGAACTTGCCTTCAAAAAGTGCTTCCTTGGTCTTATCCACATTTATTGCATGTTGAACACACGTCCACCAAAACATTAAGTAAAAAAAAATCCTGCAACTGCGTCAATTGCATAAATTTTTTTTACACGTTAATTATTTAAAATTAATCGCATGCGTTAATGCACTAATTTTGACAGCGCTAATATATATATATATATATATATATATATATATATATATATATATATATATATATATTTATATATATATATATATATATATATATATATATTATGGGTGGAGCCGAACCCGAATACGTTATTCGGAAAGGCACGAATAGCGTGTTTTTACGAATACTTATTTCGAATAAATACTTGAAAAATTATTTGTATTCGGGAGCAAGAAAAACATTATATCAAAAAGCAGCGTTTCCTCATGAGACCACAGTGCATGCCCGCGTGAGTGAGTGAGTGAGAGAGAGAGAGAGAGAGAGAGAGAGAGAGAGAGACACGCTCAGTCAGTAGTCGGAGGGCGAGGCGGAGGTAAAATGTGTCTGGCACAAGCTTCTCCACAGCAACAGACAGAGAAAGCTCGGCTGAGCGAAAAAAACACTTCACTGCATCACTATTTTTGTTAAATAGATTTTTGTACCTTAATTGGGTTCCAGATGCAGTTTATAAACTTGTAGCGGAGTTTGATCAGGATTTTCCATTACGCTGCATTTTTAAAGTTTGCAATCGGGTGCTCTCTGTTTACGCAACTTTAGCTCTGTTAGCGCGGTAATTTAGACAATAGACTGTTGACAGAGTAACGTTAACATTCTTTTATAAAGGTTAAAACGATGCTTTTGCAGTTGTGTCGAATAGTATACACTTATGGGAGTTACATGGTACGTCTACATTACTGTCTTTTGCAGATAGCAAGATATATGCTATAGGCTAGTTAACCTTAGCATAGCTTCCCGTCACTTTTTATTAACTTGAAACTCCTTTAAATACATTTGGGCCCCTGAATAGAAAAAGAGTGAGACTGCTTCTGAGCCATTTCTTGGTCCTCCACCAGTCAAAAAACCCCCAAAAAACTTAATGTTCTTTGTGGAAGAATTTTACAGTCAGTGGAGCTGCAGATAAAACAAAGTGATATAATGTGTGCAAAAGTGAAATCAGCAGAGGCAGAGATATTAAACATCTGTCAACATCTTCTATGCATACTCATTCATTTCTTTTCGGCTAAGTCCCTTTATCAATCTGGGGTTGCCACAGTGGAATGAACCACCAATTTATCCAGCATATGATTTACGCAGTGGCTGCCCTTCCAGCTGCTACCCAAACATCCA